TAAAGACAAATTGTGTGAATTGGTTTTAATGGCACCTTGAAAACGGACAAGTGATCACCAGTAGCTCAGGAGAGATACCTATAAGGAACGGTTGCTGAGACAGTAGAAAAATATTTTTGAGAAAATTCAGAAGCTACTCAGTCTCCTTCCGCCCATCAAACCTTACGTCACAGAAAACTATGCCTTTAGAATAAGAAAATGAGGGGAAAGCACAACCGTTAAGGGAAACATCGACTTACCTTTCTGGCAATCATTTTATTTTGTTCCAGAGGGGTGGACTATGGAACTTTCTGGGAGAACATGGTTACGAAACTGTTGTGTGATTAGTGCTCAGAAGGGAGGGACTGTTTTGACTCTCCTGTTACTGTGTGAGGGATGGAATTTTGCAACCAGAAAGTTCCACAACAGTTGGGAACAACAGTTGCGTGAGGAACGAGCAGAAGACAAATGTGTGCGTGTCCTGTTACTCCTGCTCTGAGCGCTCCATACCATGACTGTGCCAACATTTCCTACTTACATCAATATTTTTTATAATTACCAAACCTCATGTTCATAATGCATTAATAGCTAAAAATCTTACAAATAATGTCTACCCTGCCTTTAGGTTAGACAGCCATCTGGCTAACTGATAGGCACTATACACACACACACACACACACACACACACACACACACACATACATATAGCCTAATAAGATGCCTTATCAGCACACTTGTTCCATTTCCAATCAACTACAGTAAAGCAAGCTCCACCTTCTCTTGCTGAAGTTAAGATAGCTGAAATTTAAAAAGCACTCAAAACGTGAAACTTACCATGAGCTATTATCGCCCTCTGATTAGAGGCTTACTCTGCTCTTTCATTCCCTTGCTCATCTGCCTTATTTGCGTATTATCTCCTTTTCCTTAGCTTCTGTAAAGTCCATTCTGTCCACTGCTCTTTCTCCAACCTTTCCCAAACGGGCCTTTAGCTCTAGGGTCTTGGATTCCTTTATACTGATACCAACAGGTGTTTTGGCATACTAGGACCTGCCATGGAAAAAAGATGGCAAGAAACTTACAAGCACAATTTTAACCATGGGTTTTTACAAACAGAAAATTAGGGGAAATAGTAGAGAAGAGTAGAGAAGAGAGTTTAGGGAAGGAGAAAAAAAAACGTTGGGCTTGAGAAAGCTTCCTAGAGCCCAACATTTAGAGAGCCAGAAGCTGATGATTTTGGAATCTGGTAAGATTTAGGATAATGGAGACATTAGTGTAGAAGGTAGAATTTGGGAGCTGAGATGTGTTTGCAAAAAGGGGGCACTTCTAAAGCTGGTGGGGGGAGTGGAGTTGTGGGGTTGGTAGTTTATTTACAAGAAGGAAAGGTTACTTATAACCAATGATTTAGAAGGGAGACTTGAAATATTTTAATGTTATGCTGAATCCTGTCCTGTAGCCTGGTCCACACACCTTGTGCACCCCTCAGCTGACGCTGAAATTCCATACTTACGGATATAACCCTGTTATGGATCGTGTCTCCCAAAAATATGTGTTGAAATCCTAATCCCAGTACCTGTAAATGGAGTCCCTGGGTGGCACAAATGGTTAATGTGTTCATCTGCTAACCAAAAGGTTAGAGGGTCCAGTCCACCCAGAAGTGCCTTGGAAGAAAGGCCTGGCAATCTACTTCCGAAAAATCAAGCATTGAAAATCTATAGCGCACAGATCTACTCTGACACACACAGACCTGCCATGAGTTGGAATCGACTCGATAGCAACTGGAAAAGCGGTGTTTTGACTTGGATAAGAGGTGCTTTCAGTCAAATTTAGAGTTTTATCATTTCCACTTTTCTTCAATGTCCCCTCTGACTTGAATCCAGGTACGTCAGACTCCAAACCCCATGGTACTTAATCTTCAAGCATCTGACAAGCCCCTTGACAGGTTGATATGAACTCAATCTGCAATTCCACGTTAAATCACTTCTGGAGCCTTAGGGTGTTGCGCTTGTTTGTTTCCACATCATCGGGTCATGGGTAAGACTGGATTATGTTAGTTAAACACTGACTCTTTCTAGGACTCCACAGTATCTGCTACTTGTGGCTACTGCTCAGGAGGAATTCTTTGAGCAACTGCAAGAAGCACTTCTAGTCTTCTTTCACCTCTCTAACAGATCTTGCACCAAATAATAACCATTAAACTTCTCTTACTACTTGGCTTGAACTTCCTTTTCAATGAAGTTAAAGACCTGGGTCTCTCTAATAGTGTATACTGTAAAGTTAACAGTATCAACCAAAACTAAACGGGTCGCCACGGAGTGGACTGAATCATGGTGACCCCATGTGTGTCAGAATAGAACTGTGCTCCACAGGGTTTTCAGTGGCTGATTTTTTGGAAGTAGATAGCTAGGCCTTTCTCTGGAGATGTCTCTGGGTGGACTCATACCTTCAACCTTTCAGTTAACAGTCAAGTTCTTTAACTGCATCACCGAGGGACTCCTTAACAGTACCAACATGGGCATAAATGTGAATTAAACAAAGCTTCTTAACATGAGATATAAAAAATCAGTTCCAACTCATAGAGACCCTATAGGACACTCTCCCATAGGGTTTCCAAGGAGCAGCTGGTGGATTCAAACTGCCAACCATTTGGTTAGCAGCTGTAGCTCTTAACCACTGTGCCACCAGGGCCCCAGCACTAGATATGGTTAAAATTAAATACATTTTCTCTTCCCTTCAAACATCACATCATTCTAACTTTCCCATTTTCATGACACAATCTATCAAGTTCTGAAAAGCTTGAAATCATGGATGTTTTCTTTGATTCCGTTTTCCTCCTTGCTCCACAGATGTAGAACGTCATAAAATTATTGTAAACTACTTTAAAAAAACCAAAAAAACAACTGCATCTGTTTTTCACAAAATACAATCTTTAAACTTTTAAGTCTACCACTTACTGGCTGTGGACAGCTTTTTTTTTTAGCATTTCTGAGCTTCCGTTTTTTTCATCTGCAGTATGGGTTTACGATGAGGATTAAATGAGCTCACACGGGAAGGTGTTTGGCACAGTTCGGCAAGTCCTAAATTCTCAACAACTTCAACTACTACCCCCCACTATGGAAACCCTGGTGGTATAGTGGTTAAGCGCTACAGCTGCGGCTGCTAACCAACAGGTCAGCAGTTCAAATCCACCAGGCCCTCCTTGGAAACTCTATGGGGCAGTTCTACTCTGTTACATAGGCTCACTATGAGTTGGAATTGACTCAACAGCAATGGGTTTTTTGGGTTTTTTTTACCACCACTATTACTATTGCTGCTAATGCCAATATGGCTGCAGCTTTTGTAATCAGCCTCTGTATCAGTTGTAAAGTATCAGCAACCACAATTTTCCTTGAAAAGATCATTCTCAGTCCAGATGTCTCCAAATGACTACAAACTCTGTGCGGTGTCATGTCTGAATTCCTTCCTAACGATGCCTGAGAAGGCTTTCCTCTGGTTGCCTGTTGCCTCCCTGTTCTAACTGCCTTCTTGGCTCATTGCTAGAAAACCCATCCTTCCCGTTTGCCCAGGACAGACTGGATGCAAGCCTCTTATCTGGGTATAATTATTAATAGCGTCCCTTTCACTTTTGAAAGTGTCCTCGTTTGGATGTTACGTTTATACGGTCACTCTAATCAGTTCACCCCACTCAGGAGTCTCTGAGTGGTGCAAATGGTTAACGTGCTCACCTATAAGGCAAAGGGTTGAAGGTTCGAGTCCATCCAGAGGCGCCTCAGAAGAGAGACCTTTCTATCTAATTCTGAAAAATCAGTCACTGAAAATCTTAAGGAGCACAGTTCCACTCTAACACCAATTGCTTGGACTTTGCTAAAAGCCAGGCAAAACATCACCCACATATTGGCTCTCTCACCTTCAAGCTATTTCCTTTGCCTGGAAAGCTGTTCTCAGACCACTGCCAACTCATGAACTTTTTCTCCTTCAAAATCCTACCCAGAACTCACTCTCAGGATGGAACTTTCTCTGATGACCCTGTCTTCCACCCAATCCAGGAACTTCTCAGCAATCATGCTAATAACTCTGCATAACTTTAGTTGGCTCTGTTTATAAGATTCTTCTTGTATCTTCCCCCCTCCTAGGTATTTTTCCATATATTTATCCAGTCCCCATTAATTTGTAAACTCCCAGAGGGCAGGGCCTTAACACGGGCTGGTGTTGGCATAAAATGGATGTGCAAGTTAGGACTGACTGGCAGACGGACAATCCTTTCTTACTAATGTGTTAAAACAACAACAACAAAACTTTGTTAATGCTCCTGATGGTCCTGTAACTGCTAATATATGTAAAAATGTATCCAGTTTCTTTTAGTGTCCAGATAAATAAGATAAAATCAACAGCTACAAGTTTTCCATAATGTGAGGGAGAAGGTGCTGGATATTTTGACCTATAAGGGAATCTACAGTGTCAGCAAGCTATGTTATTATGGAGTTTATTTTCTTCAGAGGTATGCTGCTGTTTCTGCAAAGCTGTAGGACTATCTCAGAAGAGAAATTACACATACTTTCAAAACCTGTGATTTAAACACCGAACAAAGCCTCAGAAAATATACACTATCACCATACAATCGGTTTGTGCTAAGAATGGGGGAAAAATGGGTCTAATTTTGGAGGCGTCTATATAATGGATCTAATATGGCTCTAACAGAAAATACGTTATCCAGGATTACTAGCTAGGTAGATTATTCATTTCTATCCAGCGCCTTTCCTTCAGGTAACAAAGTGAAGCCAGTGCAAACGCCCACTTTCTCACTGGGGTAAGAAGTGGGAATCCTTTACCGTGGCCACCTGCTTCTCTCTCTTCGAACCAGCACATAAATGGCCAGATATCTGTGTATCTTGCTCAGCGCAGACTCTCAGCATAAACCAACGTAGGCGGTGCGCTAGATAACATCAAAGCCCCAGGCAGGGACCAGAAAAGGGGGGGGGGGGGGTAAAAGCGGCGGAGGGAATGAAGCACCTCCCCCTAGCATTTCCTCTCACGCCCACTTCCAACCTAGGAGGCTTTTGGTTTCTGCTTTTGTTGTTTTTAAAATTAAAAGTTAAACCCAGGAAGCTTTGAATCAGACTTTTGCGTGGCACTTCGGGTAAGTTTGTCTCCGGCTCTTTTGGCGCCTGGCTTGGGGCGAGCTGGGGCGTGGGGCAGAGTTGGCAGAATGTGCGGGTCAGGTTTTGTCGCCGG